TATATTAATTGATAAATAATTTTATTTTTCTAATTAATATTAAAAAATAATTTTATTATTGTTATAAAGATAAATATAATTTATTTTTTTATACATACAATATGGATGTTAAATCCAACCTTATCAAGAAATGATTAATTTGATATATTATATATGTAAAACTGATAAAAACTACAAAAATTATTAACTTTTAAAATACATTTACAATTCAATTGTTATAATAATAAATAATATTAAAATACAATTAATACATGTAACATGATCATAAAATAATCAATATATTTATAGATAATCCGAAAGACACCCCCTCTCCGGCCAGAGAGGATTTGAGTACAACAGTGATTACGGAAGATCTTTGTTCCTATTATTTGAAAGCCTAACTAGGCGCGTCAGGTTAAAATCTACCTAAGTCTAATAATGAAGCATCAAAATTTTATCACATAAAATTTGGAAATATGTGAATCTGTCATTTAGACTCAGTATGTTTTGAATTAATAATTTAATATATAATGAGTATATGATTTACCATATACTCCCTCCGTTTTTTATTAAATGTCGTTTTGACTTTTTTGATTCATCCATTTTGCTACGTATCTAGACATAAAATATGTCTAGATACGTAGCAAAATGGATGAATCAAAAAAGTCAAAACGACATCTAATTTGAAACAGAGGGAGTATGATTTACACCCGATAAATATATTAGCCATTGTATCCCCTTTCTTCCCCCACGCCACAACCCTCGCCAGTCATCACAAGATTCGCTACCTAAATGGCGGACAGTGAAACTAACGCAGAGAAATCAGCAAAATTCGAAGATTTCTTAAGCTCCCTACCACAAGAGATCAAGGCCGGGATTCTATCTCGACTGCCATTGAAGACGGTGGCTCAATCCAGAGCCGTCTGTCCGGCGTGGAACTTGAGTCACGGCGACCCGTCTCTCCTCGATATGCTTATTTCCTGCAAATTCGCTCTTAATCGGACATGGGTTTTTCTGGGCGTTCACCGTATCCACACTTCCGTATTCTTCACCGATCTTTATGATGATGCCGGCGAGGAAGAAGACAATAAGGCGGACCGCAT